AAAAAAAAAAAAAAACTAGAGCTGCGTGATTCCCAATAGAAATGGGTACGGTACCTGGGGACTGCAATCCCAGTGAAGTAGAGATAACACTTGCCATAAGTGAATCAAATTCAGGGCTCCAAAGCATTAGCAGCGAGGTCCATGTGAAATTTAGCTGAATGAGCGTAGAGAGAGAGAGAGAGAGAGAGAGAGAGAGAGAGAGAGAGAGAGAGAGAGAAGCTAGAAACCCTAGGGAAGTTTTGGGAAAGTTGAGCAGAATGATTGTCAGGATAGTGTGTGAAAAAACTGTGGGAGCTCTGCCTCTTCGCCTATTGCATTTGCCTCTTTGGTTTTGTTTTCTTTTTTCTTTCTTCACTTTTCTTATGATGAATAATTTGCAACTTTAGATGGTGTTTATAGTTGGTTAAGAGTAATTTAGTGTTTATAGTTGGTTAAGAGTAATTTAGAATTTTAGTCCGGTATGTTTCACTACTTTAATTTTTCATCATTTTTAAATTGTGTTTTTTATTTTTGTCTCGTATGTTTGAAAAAAGATTATAAAAAGATTCTTTTTGCAGCAAAAAGGTCCTTTATGTTTTGCAAAAAAGTATTTCAATTTAGTCTCTTATGTATGTAAAGGACCTTTGTGTAATTTTTTTTAACATACGGGATAAAAATAAAAAACGTTATTAGAATAAATGAAAAAATTAAAGTAGTGAAATATACATGACAAAAATTATAATTTACTCAGTTGGTTAAACATGTGGCAAATATGAACACGCACCAAATTCAATTACACACGTCAAATATACAGCCACAACGGCTAATTTCATAAACGTCAATAAATATATTTTTGGTTTGATTGATTAGTCTAATTATATATCTTATTTTATGTTTTATTACTTTTTTATTTTATTTTATGCTTTTTTTTTTGTACAAAGGGATAGGCCAACGCCTATAGGTTTAGTTGCACACGTGTCTCGCGTATAAGTTACTCCAATTAAATTATGGTGGAGGCACTGACGAACTCCATGCGGCGGATCATGTAAGAAGTGATATCCCATCGATCTATCTGCAGCAAAGGAAGCCAATTGATCAACTGTAAAATTTGCTTCGCGGAATATGTGTTTCACCTTGACGGTCCAAGGTCGACCGCGTAATTCCTTTATGCCCAACATTAGGCCTATGTTCACCCCTGCGGCATCATCTAGGCATCTTGTAAACCCCACAACACTCTCATTGTCAACTTCCTCCGAGTTTTCTGTCACTATCAATAAACTTCTCCAGGCCTGTCGCGTAAGCAGCAATCTCCTTAAATCCACTAGGCCCTGTTCGCCGTTTACCTTGAAATAGGAATTCATTCCTCCATTTCCATAGCTTCCATGCAGTTAGTCCAAATATGCAGGCCCAATTCTCTACACCTACACATTGTGGGCACAACAAGTTCGAAGAGAGCCACTGCTTCAGGTTTAATGCAAAGAACTCAGCTTGGGCTGACCGTGACAGCAAACCCTTCCATATCTCGAGGCGAGTGAACAATCTCTTACCGCGTGTAGGTTTGTCTCCTCGGTCTGACCGCATACCTCACAGAAACTATCCGCCGTCAAATGTCTCCTTCGTCTCTCCTTAGTTTATTTACTAAATAATTATGTAATATATTAATAAAATTAATTAAAATTAAATAAGGTACAAATATATAAAAAAAATATAAATTGAGAGTAAATGTTAAATAAAACAAGGTAATTAAATAATATAATATTACTTACTGATTTATTTAATTTACATATTTGAATTTCGTAATTATTATATATTTAATAAATAAATTATGTATAAGTTTTATAAGTAAAAGTGACATAAATTGAGTTATTATATATATATTTTCTTTTGATAAAACGATATTGATAGATATATAATTGAAGCCAAGTATTTCACATAAGTTGTTTTATATCGAGTGGATAATGCCCCAATTTTGTTGCATGATGTCCAAGGTTCAAATTTTGGTTTTGGTCATCTTTTTTATAATTCTGCCACCTAATTGTCACGTCAGCTAGGCTGAGCATGAGACTTGAAGAATTCCGAACCGTTCTGAAAATCTAGCAGAAATCACTCCGAACCGAAAAATAACCGTTGGCCGTTTGATTTTCTCCAAACCGAACCAAACTGAAAAATGATTGGTACAGTTCTGAAAATTTCACAAATATCTGTACCGAGAACCAAACTGTCCCGTACATTACTGAACCGAAGAACTGAAATTAAGAACCGAATTATAAAAATAGATGTGTGATATTAATATATTTTATGTCAACTTTGATCCTTTATAATTTAAAAAAATTTAAAATGGAAATAAAATATAGTTATAGCAATTAAGCTTCATTTAAATTTCATGTTTAATAATACTTGAGATCTGCAACTGAATCTGGTTTAAGAAAAATATATTTTAAATGATATGAAAAGTTAAAGAAATATTTTTTTTTTTATTTTTTTTTTCTAAACATTACTTAAATTTGTCGATAGTAGTCTTATTCTATCTTATAACTAACATGGTATGGAAGGTAAAAAGATATATTATTTTAATAAAATATTATATTATATTTAGTTTGAATTTTGAATTTTTAATGTAAGTTGCACAAATTTAGTCTTATTTAAAATTTAGAGTTATTTCTCCAGTTGATTTAAAAATAAAAACTTTAGTATGATAAAGTATTGATGAATGTTGGATGGAAAAAATATAAAAATTAAAATACAACTAGGTGACCATTCAAAATAAATTAAGAAATAATTAAAAATCTCTGAATATCCGAACCGAACCATTCTGATAGTACTGAGAATCGAACCAAACCGAACCTAAAAATGAAATATTCAGACCGAACTGGACTAATTTTTTGGTACGGGCCTGGAAATTGAATTTTAGTAATCTACGAACTTCGGTATGGTTGCAGAGATTTGTCAATCCCCGAACCGTACCAACCCATGCTCACCCCTAACGTCAGCAAAAAAAAAAAAAGAAAAAAAAAATGAAACTACACTTAGGCGGGGCCGGTCACGGTGACTTGCTACAGGTGGTCATAGGACCAAAAAACTATTCTTTTTTTCTACATAGATGACTATTTTAAAAAATATACCTTTATTGGGACCAAAATAAAAAAGGGTCAAGGGACTAAAAAACCTTTATGGAGCCTTTTTTTGCCTAAAAATAAGATCATTTAAGGTGATACAAAAATGTATTAATGCAACTTAAAAAGTGTTTATGATTTCTACCTTTTTATGGCCAATGACAGGTTCAATATCTTTTTCTTCATCAACATCTTTCCACTATTTTGGCACTAGAAGGAAATCTCAAGTGACCACTAATTTGACTAGAAAACTTTGCAGACTCATCTCTCTTTTTTAGGTAGTCCTACCCATTGATCCACATTTATCTTAATTTTTTTTTTCCACAAGTGTCAAATGCCTTCATAATACGTACATTCGTCCATGGTTTGTCTCCGTCTT